TGGACTCTAAAGACTGAAGCCTTTGAGTCTCTGGGTCTGCTGCCAACCTCCAGGAGCATCAGGTGCATCTGACACAGACTCGGCTCCATCCTCATGACCAAGATACCTGGCCAGTAACTTGGCATGAGCAACTTCTAGGCTGGTAACTATAACACCTATACAGAACTTGAATGAATGATTGTGTGAATGAATCTCTCTCTCTCTCTCTCTATATATATATATATGTGTGTGTGTGTGTAAGGAATAAGTAGTGATAGGAATAAGTAGTCAAACAATGTTGTTTACTTTTATCTTTTGCTTTACCATTATATTTACAATAAATGTGGCATCTTTGCCTTATCCCTCTTAATAAGATCCTGCTGGTTTTTATTCTATTGGTATAACAGGGGAAGGGAATGGGGCGGGGAATGGGTGGCAAGAGGCGGGGCAGGGGTGGGGCCTCATGGAAGGGGTGGAGTGGGGGCGGGTCAGGCTTTTGTATCTTTATATGAAAAGGTGTCAGTGATGCGGCCCTTGGGCCAATGTATTAGTCCTCATGTGGCCCTCGTGGTGATTCGAGTTTGAGATCCCTGCTTTAGAGTTTGCACAGCTCTAATTCTGGTCATGTACAAGTCAGCTAAAATTTTTCTTGGCATAAAATCATAGAAATGTAGGGCTGGAAGGGAACTCGAAAATGATTTACCTTAATGGCAGGACCCAGCGCTTCCCAGACCTAGGCCCAGCCTGCATATACGACACACCCAAAGCTCACACTCCGGACAACAGGGACTTTTCCATGTACCAGGTTTGCCAGATCAGGGCCTCTGGAGCTCACCACTACCACTGGCAAAAGCACACCTGGGGCTGAAAGGAAACTCATTTCTAAATTATATCGGATAGCTGTTCTTCATGCAGAAAGTATGTTTCCAATTCACCACTGCTCCACGGCTTTCTCCCCATTCCCTGACTAGTTAAAGTGAGTCAATCTGTAATCTTTGCTTTTGCTGTATGTAAATTAATATGCCAAGCATATCCTAACTGCCACACCCTCTGACTGCGCCACAAAGAAATCAGCAATCGTTCAAATTACATTCCTTTATTAATAGAATGGTTTAATAGACCAAAACTGAAATGGATCAAAGGAATGTTTGTCCATTAAAGTGGCCAGAAACAGTAAATATTGGCTACAGATGTCATCAAGATTTCATTTAGCAAAAATTAAATATGGCCCATGGCAAAACAAGCAACCTTCAGAAATGTATTGTTAGGCTGCTAATAGAAATGATTTACACTTTATGAAAACAAAAGTCTTGGCAAAGCCAGTTTTAACTTAGTTAATTACTGTTTTGATTCTATGTTAACTGCCCGCAGCTCCCTCCCTAGATGTTATATACAAGCCTGCCATTAACATGGTAAAAAAACAAATGAGTGTTCAAGAAACTAATGGTCCCTAATGGAGCTAAGAACACCCTTTTAACAACGTCCAGCGGGGCTATTAGTGTACAAGTCATTTTCTCTCATTCAGGATAAAAGGATCTGTTTACCAGCTATAATATGTCTGCATTGATTGAACCACACATCTCTCACATTAACCTAGTTAAGACCACTTAAAGAAAATAAAGCACTGGTATGAAAATAAACATTTTAAAGGAGCCTATTTCCTTCTGGAAGCACTGTGTGCTAACTTTGAGATCCCACTGTTATAATTAAATGATGGCAAATATCTATGTGAAGAAATCTTCTCACGGTATCAAACTCCACTTACCAAATGGAAAGTAGTATGTCTGATCTTACAGCTGGTACAAGGCAGACTCTCAAAATAAATCCAACTCTGTTAAGTCATTATGATAAACAAAGAAATCCCACCTAATTAAAACAAATACTCGATTAACAACTTGACTTCACAAAAGGACAGATTTACTCTATACCAAGGCACTTGCTTAAGAGGTCTCTGCTGCATTTTCTTAAGAGCCATACAGTATATATAATGTATGCTTTTGTTTCAGTTTGTAAATAGGCATTACTAATGTTAAAGTTTGCTCATACAATCAGGGCCGGCTCCAGCATTTTTGCCACCCCAAGCGGCGGGGAAAAAAAGCCATGATCGGCGGCACTTTGGAGGCAGCTCTACCACTGCCACATTGTTCTTCGGCAGCAATTTGGCTGCAGGTCCTTCCCTCTGAGAAGGAGAGAGGGACCCGCCGCCAAATTGCCGCCGAAGAGCCGGACGTGCTGCCCCTCTCCGTTGGCCACCCCAATCACCTGCTTGCTGCGCTGGTGCCTGGAGCCGGCCCTACATACAATCACACATTGCTTTGCTGTAACAATATTGTTCTCAGTCCTCTCTCTCTTTCATCTTCCTGTCTGTATCTCTCTTCTAGTTTCTGTTTTTCAGAGTCCATGCTATAAAAAGTAGAGTCTACACTTCTTCTGATTTGCTCAAACTGACTAAAATCAGCAACATATTTTCCATTTTGAGAGAGAGAAACCACAGGCACAAACTCATAACCCCAGTGGATCTCCTCTGGTATATAAGAAGTTCTGCTTTGGCAGACGGCACTAGTGGATTCTACTGTGGCATTCAAGAGGACAACCAGTTCAAAATCCTTTTCTTTTAGGTTTTGGGGTGTGAGATCTCTTAAAGGGCTACTCTCATCCAATAAATGGTAAAAGGTTAAAGGTAAAATCAGAAAAGGACTTTCTGAAGAGGAGTCAACATGGAATTTGACACTGGCTTGGTTGAGCAGGATCCTCTCCCCTTCTTTGGTTTCATAGGTTTGAAGAAGTTTCCCAGACAGCTGACACTGAATCAGAAGACTCTTCCTCATATTTGCCACTCTGAGCACAAGGCAAAGCTCTCCGTTGTGTTTGGTAATTACAGCACAATGACTGAACTTAATAGTCTCAGCCCGTTTTTTGGGTCTTGCAATTTTGGCCAAGAAGGTACCAGTGATAAAGATCTCAATCAAGGTTGTGATGACCAGCTGAGCAACCAGGAGGAATATGGCATGAGGGCACTCCTCTGTGATGAAACGAAAGCCATAACCAATAGTTGTCTGTGACTCCAAAGAAAAGAGAAATGCCCCAGTTAGTGAATTTACTTCCTTGACACAAGGCATATGTTTGGGGGGGAAATGATCCCTTTCTAAATCTCCATGAAGAAATGCAATGGCATAATAGATAACTCCAAAGAGGAACCAGGTCATCACAAAAGTAGCAGCAAACAGGGTAAGTTTGTATCTCCACTTCATGTCTATAACCGTTGTCCACAAATCTTGAAGGTAAAGCAGGTATATACCATCTACTTTGTCAATCCTCACATTGCTGTGACCACTTTTGGACATCACCCGGGGTCTGTGTGTCTTGAGGTCAGCGCTGATGATACCGTTAACGAGTGGGGCACTTGACGTATTGATTTGAGTGGTGCCCATTTTCAGTTCCTCAGTTCTAAGAAGAGAAAAAAAGAATTCAGTTACTTAAAGTCAAAGTACATGTGCCTTAAAAATCATTTGAAAAACACAGAAGGACAGAAGGACACAATCATGACCGCATTACATATGTATAATAAAGGAATGCCCCTGGAACAAAAAGCTACCATCATATAGTGTCTGATATTAAAGCTATTTGACTTTTTTTTTACTTTCGTGACTGCCATATAAGGAGAAATGGACTATCTTATGGTATCTTGGAAAAGAAATTTGACCAAGCTAAAATTCTATGTTAGTACTGTGTTTTTTAAAAAGGCATGAGGTAAAATTCTTCTCATATATTGTCGAGAAAGCAGGAGAGACTTGTTTTGACTACTATATTTATTCCCACTCATGCACTCAGGAGAAGGATTTCATTAAAATTAAACACATTTTGATGCTTGATTTAGAATGCCGGACCACCTTTGTCTCGCAAAACAATACAGTCAAAATAAGCAAAACAAATTTTGTTCATGGCTAATTAACTTCCATAAGTGATATAATCAATCATTTCTAGCTCTTCCCTAAACATATAACTAAGCTACAGGGAAACAGCATAGTCCTGTGAACACATAAAGGAGAGTTTTGGAAAGAAATATTTGCATCTGAAAACTCTTCAAGGCTCTTTGTAACATATAGCACTCCAATTTCAAAACAGTCAGTGGAAAACAGGAGGCAATTCACAAATTCAGCATTCTAGCATTAGGCCCTGACCTGTGCAAACACAGGAATCAATGGAGCACAAAACTCAAGAAGTTTGTTTACTGTGAACCAAGTTCAGTCCAGATGGAGATTAAGTGGGAGTACATTCAGGACGGAACAAAACCCACAAAGTGCAGGAGAAGGTTGCCTGTGCCAGTTTGATGAGGCAAATAAAGAAACACAGCTTCCAGGACAAGACAGTGGTTGCGTAGTGCAAGGACAGGGGATGTTACAGTAGTAGTTTCCAATAACAAAACTTCCTGCTCTAAAAAAAGCCCACTGTGCATCCTTTGTGCTTTTGGCAGATCATACAACAAACATTGGTTTGTTCCATTGTTTTGCTTAAAAAGAAGCTTTAATAAGTGTTTCTTTTTTATGAACCACAGGAAAAAAAAAGTTCTCCCTTGTAACTACTTAAAAGAAACTCACAGGAAACTCAAGACCTATTTGTGGTGGGGGGTGTGCCTGCCCAGGACAACAACATAATTGTTCAGTGTTGTAACTTTCCTGTTATGTCAATAAAAGAGAGTTTTGTTTACTAAATACACTGATAACCAAATTACTGTTTTTCAGGGGGAAAGTAATTGCAATTTTATTTGTATTGTCACACTGTAATTCATTCAGATTTTGTTTTAATCGTTAAAGCTCATTTTCCTTATTTTAGGCTCAGTTTTAAAATATTAAAAAAAAATAGGACTGCACTGGTGATCCCAGTAGGAGACCTTTTATGTGACAATCAAACCACCACACACACTGTGCAGCATGTCCAGATAAACAGAAAAAAAAAAAAGACCAAGTGATCTTAAAAAGAACTACAGGAGGAAGCAGAAAAAGCAAAATAAAACACAGCAGCATATGAGCAACTGCTGTTTAGACAAGCCCAGAATTCAAATGGTGCTGCCAGAGAAAATACAGCGTATGTAAGTATATGCAACATGCAGTGTAAAACTCATTAGGAAAAAATGCACGCCATACAGTCAAGAGGCTCCATTGCCCACATCAAGCATTACCATGATAAGATATTGATATAAAAAGTGCCTAAAATCTGTCCTGATATCAATCCTATCTCCTCTAAAGCTCACTTCTCCATAGTCTCTGCTTCCATTCATGAGAAGTGATGGGTTACAATTAGTTCTCTGCCACAAGTAGCTTTAATCCGCTAAAGGCCAAATTGTACCTGGACTTTGAGGCCATGCAGCAGAGTAAGGGCCAGCCCCACTCCCCTGTGCAGCCTACCAGCATTGCTGCTTCGTGTGCAGGGGGCAGAGCAGGCTCCCCAGAACTGCTACCTCCTCCCAGTTGTGCAGTTGTGTGAGGCGTGGGTGGAGAGAGCCAAGGACCTGCCCTCTTCCCTCAGTGCATCAGTTAGTGAAGTTGAGCTGTTGGGGGAAGGAGAATGCTGGGCCTGTGAGGTGGGAGGGTCCCAGAGCTCGGGCATCTACACCGCAATTAAACAGCCCCTTTGCCTAAGCCCCAGGAGCCCAGTGTAAACATACCCTAGTGGGCTATAGCAAAACAGTCTCCTCCAAGAGAGCAGGGAGGAGCCAGGGAAGGAACTGTGATTCGAAGGCATGATTCTTTCTCAGGGTTGCTCGTAGCATGGAACAGTTACAACATGTGCTGCCTCTTCCAAAGACATCAGATTTCAGTTTAGCTGTAAGTGACCTACAGAATGTTCCAAGTAACCTCCCATTCACCCCTTTACTCAAGCGATCTGCAAGTCTGTCCCCGACATCCCCAGCCTTTTCTCCACTTCTGTGGTGGGGATTTACACATCTGTAGGTTGCTGGATCTCCCTTAGCTTAAATACGAATTATAATGGCTTCATTCTGGTTTTTGCTAGGCTCCTCTCTTGATTTGTATTTCTATATTATCTCAAGGCTCTCAGCTCTTCAGATACTTCCTTTGGTATTCTGGAATGGATCCCATCTGATCTTGGACTTTTTTCTGACTTCCTGCATTTTCCCTGTTACATCATCTATTCCTGCACAATTTTGAATTCCTTTAGTATATTTCTTCCTCTCACAGGAAATTCATGTTGGTTTTCTCTCGCTATAAAAGTACTTCCTCTGTTTGGTGTCATCCTAGCTGCATGAATAGTGGAACAGAAGCATTGCCATACTGTATCAGACTAGCAGCCCATCTAATCCAGTGCCAGATGCTTCAGAGGAATGAACCCTTGAGTAACCAGTTATGGGATAACCTGCACCTAAGGTAAATTTTCTCCAAACCCAAATAGTTAGAGATTGGCTTATACCCTGAAGCTTGAGGGGTTTTATCCCTTCCAAAGCTCTTGGTTTTTAAAATGTTCTCTATTTTAACAGGATAGTCTTGTTACTCAGATAAATATCGAATCCCTTTTTGGACCTGCTAAACTCTTGGCCTCTGTGATATCTTGTGGCAGTGAGTTCCACAGGCTCACGGTGAGCTGCCTGGATAAGTATTTCCTTTCTGTATTTGCCACTTTCCAATGTTATTGAATGTCCCCTTGTTCTTGTGGAGATTAGAGAGAAAGACTGAACAGAAGTTGCCAATCAACCTTCCCCCTCTAATTCGGAAAATATCCTTTCTGAGATGAGGTAACCAATACAGAATCCCAAACGAGGGCAAGTCAATGAGTTATATAATGTCATTATATTTTCCTTAATATTCTCCATCTCATTCCCTATGCATCTTTATATACAGGCATCTTAAAAGATTTCCACAGGGTGACTTCCTTACATTTGGAATTTTTTAGTTCTGTCTTGATTCCCTGCCCAACTTTTATTCTACTTCTTTTCCTTTCAATTTTTTCCTGAATCAGCAAACATTCCTAAAACAACAAATTTACATTTTTTCAAAGAAACATTCCCAATAACAATAACATGCTAGTTGTAAGGGAGCAAACTAGTTGATTTATACTGAAGTGAAAACTACCAAAATTTAGCCAAAATACCCTGTTAAAAAAGAAACCAAATACCACCCCAATTCTAACTACAGAATTAATTGATAGCTTAAAGAAACAGTAGCATAATAAGGGAAGGGAAGGACGAGTCTGATATTTATATTGTACTGTCATGCCCAACAGTTAGCCCCTCCAGATTTCTGGTAAGAACTCTGGATCCACCAGAAGAGAGATTCCCCACCAGAGTGCATACTGGTAAAGGACTTGAATGCACACAAGATCAAGAAAGCTTAGAGTTATGTACCAAACCACTGACAATCAGTATCTTGATGTTAACACTGACTCCAAGGGCCACATTATCAAAGAGCTGAGACCCACTTGCATACACACTAATGTCCACACCGTACAACTAGAGTTGCTTGTTTAGGACCTACTTGAGTCTACACAAATCAATTAAAGAAGACAAAAGCATTATTTGGTCAAATGGCCTCAAATGCCTCCTTTCTTATCCATCGGATATGCTTTGCCAATGGAGCCTCTCCCACTCTCCTCTTGGATATAAATGGCTAAAACTTACATTGCTCTTTTAGCCATTGTAAGCTACCAGCATTTGAAAAAAAGAAAACAAACCTTTTTCGTCTTGAGATCTTTGACAGGTCACACATAGGATTGCCTGGCATCCGGTCAACCCCGGTTGAAAAGGGACTCTGGGGACTCTGGTTGGCACCGCCAACCAGGCCATGAAAAGTCTGTTCGGCAGCGCAGCAGGGACCTGGGGCTAACGCAGGCTCCCTACCTGCTCTGGCTCTGTGTTGCTCCTGGAAGCGGCTGCCAGGTCCCCGCGGTCCCTAGGCGCTGGGTCAGAGAGGGACTGGGAGACTCTGTGTGCTGCCCCTGCCCCAAATGCTGGCTCCACAGCTCCCATTGGCTGGGAAGTGCAACCAATTTGAGCTGGAGGCAGGCAGCGCTTGCAGGCACGAAGACACCACACAGACCTGTCTGGCTGCCTGTGTGCCTAGAGGCCGCAGGGACCTGGCGGCCACTTTTTTCTCTGAGCCAATGTAAGTGATGCCAGGACCCCATAATCCCACCTGCACCCCAAACCCCTCATCCCCGGCCCCACCCCCAGCCAGAGCCCTCACTCCCCACACACACCCTAACCCCCTGCCCTAGCCTGGAGTCCTCTTCCATACCTCAAATCCCTCATCCCCGGCCCCACCCCAGAGCCTACACCCTCAGTTGGAGCCCTCACCCCCTCCTGCACTCCGACCCCCTGCCCCAGCCGGGAGCCCCCTCCTGCACCCCAAACCCCTCATCCCCAGACCCATCCCAGAGCCCGCACCCCCAGCTGGAGCCCTCACCCCCCCACACACCCTAACTCCCTGCCCTAGCAC